CTTTTAATTTAAAATTGAGGGACTAAAAATATATATTTAAATAAATTTATTGAATTAATTGATAAAATAATTAACAAAATATATTTTTCATAATAAAAAATAAAAAAATATATAAAACTTTAAAATTAATTAGAAAGCCAAATTGACATTTAACCCAAAAAGCAATGCATGTTGTATTATAATATAATATAATAAAGGAGAGCTACCAAGACTCGAACCCTAGCAGTTGGACAGAGAGAACTAATCAGTTCCTTTCCAGAGGTCCAACCACTAGGGTACGGGAGCCCTGGTACTGTAAATGTGTCTAACATAACATAACATAAAAATTAATTAATGTGAATACCATATATATTATTAAAAAATACTTGATACATATAACACCTTCCCCTCCTCTTTAAGTTTTTCCTTTAACAAAGAAGATTTCTTCCCTTCTTCATTTTTCACAAACAAAACATACTCTAAAACTATAATTTATTTGTTTCAAAGAAGAGGGGTTAACATTAAAATTGATCCACGATAACCTATTTAGTGATATGATTGATAAATGATTCGAGCTCAATGCGAGAAACGCCGCCTTCCTCAGTAGCCTGACGAACAGCTCTTCCTAATTCCTCTGCCCTTTTCCTCATCATTTGCCCTTCCTCTGACGCCATTAACGTCCTCACAGCTTCTTTAACAGCCAACGCCGTCACTAATTCTTTTCTACGTGACCATTCCCTTACAACCACACCGATCTTCAGCACCTGCGTCACAAAGGCAGCATTCCAAGGCTGGTCGGAGTGCATTGGCCACGTCGCAATCGGCACTCCCATGCTGATGCTCTCCATACACGAACCCCACCCGCAGTGACTCATGAAACCCCCAGTTGAAGGGTGCGCCAGAATTTCAGCCTGAGGCACCCACCCTCTTACCACCATCCCCTGTACTCCTTCCGTTCTCTCTTCAAACCCTTGTGGAAGCGTGGGACCAGCACTGATCTGTTCTTCTTCTGCAAAAATATCTCCTCTGTCTGCATTTCTTAATACCCATATGAATCTAATCTTGCTTTCTTCTAATCCTATTGCGAGTTCCTTAACCTGTTCGTCTACCATGGAACTTGTGGTGCCGAAGGAGATGTACATGACCGACTTTGTTGGTTGCTTATCAAGCCAATCTATGCACTTTTCTTTTCCATTCAACTTGCTTTGCTCGTCAATCCTCACTAGTCGGTTCAATGGCCCAACTGCCCACTGATTTCTGTTCCCATTATTCTGAGCTAGAAGATCGAGATAATCACCTTCAATCACTCTGCACGAGTTGCAGAGAACACCGGATCGGAATTTCTCGAACTCATCTCCGAGGGCTATAAATTTCTCGAACTCATATGTAAAACAGCCTTCCCTGGAAGAAGGAAGATTGGGTGGGATTTGAATTTCTCTAGGAATTGGGATCTCTCCCATATTCCAGCAGAAGGAATTGAAGGCCGAAGACGTGTGCAGAGCGTAGAGTTCGACATTTGGGAAAGAAGCAGCATCGTGAACAACATATGACATCAGAGTATCATGGATTACAATAATCTTTTTCTTGGTTTGAGAATGGAGAGTTTGGAAGAATGCTGCAAAGGGTTCGCGGAGGGTTAGTGAGGCTTCAAACAAGGGATGCATATGGGTAGGGAAATCAGTATCCGTGCCAGGGATGGGGGAGGGAGAAGGAAAGGGAGGAATTTGGAGGTCATGGAATTGGATGTTGAAGAGGAGAAGTGGATCGGAGCAGCGGAGCTTGGCTTGTCGGACATGGTTGGAAGAGCAAACGTAGTAGACTGGAAGGTTGTGGGGTGATGATGATAGGAGGCATGAGAGTTGCAGGAGCTGGCTTAGATGGCTTTGCGCCGGAAAGGGCACTGCCAGTACGATCACCGGAGCAATCTGGTGGTGTGGGTTGGACATTGAACTTGTTATTGTTTTCTGTGGTATACAGTAATTGGTTGGTAGTTTTTCAGGAAGGAATTGGAATAGCGTGTTGCTTTCTTGCACTTGGTTCCTTCTTACTTTCTGATGTCAATGACATTGTAGTTTTTTAAGTACATTTCCTAGCCGCCAATATTGAAACAATAGTAGATATTTGTTATTATTATTATTATTTTTTTTTTGACCAATGTAAGTTTGGGAAATTTTTATATTTATTTTTAGAACACTACACATTTTGATTTAAAATATAATATAATATATTTATTAAAAAATTATTATTTTTTAATTTAAAATTAAAAATAAAAAACTTAAAAATATGATTATACTAATATGATATCAAAACTAATTAAATTAAATTACATTTATGTTATACTATATTTTTTTTATTATACGGGAAAAAAAACAAATTAACTTATGGAGGAGAAAAGTGGCATGAGCCTACTTTTAGACTTTTTAGCTTTTTAGCTTTTTAGCTCTTTGTTTTAGTAAATTTGTAAGTTTTAGTTCATTACTTTATATTATGATATTTTTAACCCTTCACTTATTGAAATTAAATAAAATAGCCTTCATTTATATAATTTTGATAGTTTTGTTAACTGACTGTTAACTTTATTAGTTGACTATTAGTTGACAAAAATCTACTTTCAGCTAATAGAGTTAACAGTCAGTTAACAAAATAGTTCTATTAGCTGACTATTAATTCTATTAGTTGACTGTTAGCTGACTGTTAGCTGACTGTTAACTGGTAAAAAAACTTACTTTCAGCTGACAAAAACCTACCTTCAACTAATAGAATTAACAGTCAACTAATAGAGTTAATAATAAATTAATAGAACTAACAAAATATTATAAAGTGAGGACTATTTTCTTCAATTCTAATAGATGAGCAGCTAAAATTGTCATAGTATAAGGCGATGAGTTAAAACTTACAAATCTGGTAAAGTAAAAGGTTAAAAGGAGGTTTTTGCCGAGAAAAGTAGCGCCTGTCATATCCCTTTTTAGGAAAATATTCAATCCACGTGGTGGAGAATCATAGACAATGGTTCCAACCGG